GAGGGGCGCCCCGCCATCTGGGCGAACGATGCACTTCGGACCTCTCCGCGGCGCCCTGGCGCGGGCGGGCCGCTATTCGAGCGGCGGCATCAGGACCCCCGTCGCCTTCTGAGGCCGCGTGCCCTGTGGCGGAGGGCCCGGCCGGCTTGGGGTAAATAAAATAAAGGGGGGAGGACAAAGCTGGGGGCTTGGGAGGACCCTCCCTCCCTCCGTCCCTCCCTTCCCAGGGACTTACAGCCCCGGTGGGGATTGCAGGGGCACAGGGCTGCGCAGCTCACACATCATGCTAAGCCATGGCTTGTTTCAGCCATGCATCCTGAACAGGCCACCATTGCTGAATTAAGGTCTAAGCCACAAATTATGGCTAATTAACCAGCCTGACTGGTTCTCCACATCGTGCCCACCAAAGCTCACCCAGCTGTCTTTTGCAGAGGATGAAGATCGTGCTTTGTTGCCTGGAAAATGGGGGAAATGAAAAGCCCACGCTGTAGGGAAGGTGCCTGGTTGGCAAAAGTTGTGTTAGAAGCTTCTGCCCGTCCCAGGAACAAATAATCACGAGACCCGGGGTGCCAAGGTTGTCTTTCCCAAGCAAGTCATGAAACCCTAGCTTCAGATTTTGGAGAGGAACAAGTCAGGAGTCCTGGTTTGACTGTAAAGAGAAGCACATTGTATCTCAGCACAGTCAGCAAACCATGAATGGGGCTGTCCTGTCTGCTTAGCACAGAGGTGAAGCATCGACCACCCTCCACCTGTTGCTGGGCGACTCCTCACATGTTGGCTGAGATGTGCTCGGAGATTTAATTTGATTGTGCCTAAAGGTAACATGCTGAATATTGAGCTGATGACCACCATGACCAGCTGAAACCACACCCATGCAGCTTCCTCGCCAGCCACGCTGAGGTGGTCTGCTGTTCCCTTCTGTCTGCCTGCTTTTAAAATTATCCTCCAGTCTAGTCGTCCTGGGGATCTCCCGTCCTAGCACTAACCAGGCCCCAAATTAGCTTCCAAGACCATCGAAGGCGGCTCAGATGTGGCCATCTGACTCTGTGTCCTCCTCTTCTGCTTCGGCAGGATCTGGTGCTGAAACACACCAGATGGGAGCAGTTGAACCGTCTGCATCTGTGGCTGAGAATTATGAATTCTCAGGCTTGAGCTTCGGGCAGCGTACAAAAGTCAGGGTCCTCCAGGAAACCAAAAGGAGGAACTGCAGAGCTGATTCTAGCAATATCTGCCAAATGGGACACCACCGCTATGATGCTCCACGCTCCTTTGGTGGGGCAGAAGTTGCTTCACTGCATTTCCTGCCATCTGTGCCCACAGGAGTTGCAGTAGCTCTCTTTGCTTTTGGCCAAGAGGGAGTGATCAAGCATAAAACTGTCTGGATGGAGTCATCCTGCTTTTGCAAACTTCGGGTGGTGTTCTGAGCGTGCTGGATCTTCAGCCCTCAGGACATTGGGAGTGGTACCTTGGACATCTGGAGAACATCAATTCTGGGGAAGGCTAAGTGCCTGTCCTTCAGTTGCCCCTAGCTTAGGGTTGACAGAGGTGTGGGATGTCTAGGCATAGCTGTTCAGCCCTTCCCCAAGTTGCAGCTTTTTAAGTACGCGCCTGAACTGTGTGGAAAGTTCTGGCCTTGCAAAAAAGCAAGTTGTGAACAGAGGAGCGGTTTCCTGTTGCCTTTCAGGTTTTGTAATGTGGCTGCATTTTCATTCTCGTTGCTGTAGTAGAATTCAGTTGTCATGAGCTGGTTCGGAAGTCATTTCTTGGCTGAGAATAGCGCAGAGAGATCAGTGTACCGCCCAGTCTTGAACAATATAACTAGCAAGCAAAGTGATGTTTAGCTGCTCCCGTATTTTTTGTTGTGGGAAAACGTTAATGCCGAAAGTGTGTTGTTGGTTGGACACTGTACCAGTTGGAACAAACAGCTGGTAAAGTTGCTTGTTAATTTTTTTCAGCTGACTATAAATCATGACCAGGCAGAATATATAAACACGCATATATTTGGCCACCCTAAAATGATTGGGAGGGCAATTTTCGGTGCCTTAAGTAAGCAAAGTTAACCTTTGGGTTGTATTTAAAAACATCTACAAATAAGTCAGTAATAATAACTTGCAGCTAACCCTTTTTATTTGTTTAAATGCAAGTACACATCTCTCCTTATTCCTGTTTCATGGTTCCATCTTTGGCTATTGAGAAAGGGTTTTGAGACATTTCATGTGACGTTTGTAATTAACACAGCGGGCCTTTGAAATCTAGGGTTCAAATGCCTTCTCTGCAGGTAAGGAAAATAAGTTTATTGGAAAATAAAACCTGCCATTTGGAACATCGACAGGGGTGGGTGACAACATCTCCATCGTGGTGTCGTTCAGTTGATACCGTGACACATCTTTGGGTCTTGTGTCAGTCCCTTTTAGTGAACAAGATGAAGACAGATCCCAGGAACCAGGAAGACAGATTAAACCGCATTGCATGTAACGCAGCGTCAGGTCCCGGTTGACTTATGCCTTGGGCAAACTTCTGCTCCATTCCTTACCATCAAATCCATATCACTAAGTGCAACGCCCTTGCAGGCG